TTAAATAAATAAATAATAAAAAAAAAACACATTCAACTGCATGCATCAAACAGGTGCATTTTTAAAAATAACTGTGCTTTTATCTGCATCCTTCTTCATTAATCAAAAATATCCAAGCATTGGGGCACTTGGGTGGCTCAGTCAGTTAAGTGTCTGACTCTTGATTTCAGCTCAGGTCATGATCTCAGGATTGTGAGATGAAACCCTGTGTCGGGCTCCGTGCTGGTGGTGGAGCCTGTTTAAGATTCTCTCTCCGTCTCCCTTTGCACCTCCCCTCCATGTGCACACACATGCTCCCTCACTCTTTCTCTCTAAAAAAAAAAAAATTTTCAAGCACCAAAAAAAAATGTCCAAGTGCAAAAAAGAATTGCATATATTTAATATTTGCCTTCCAGATTTTCAAATTCAAGACAAAACTACTAATGAAAACATACAGCATATTCATTCAGTTGAAATAAAATATTCAGATTATACACAAACACCTCAATATTCTTTCAGGTTAGATATATTGATCAAGAGTGAGTACATTTTAGAGTTAAGAAAGCAAAAGAAACAACTCACCTGTATCCAGGTTGAACAAGGAGAGAAATCTATGTGGAAGTACCACCATGAGAAAAAAGCACAGAGGCCCTCTGATATTTAGTACACACTTAGCGGAATGTAAGGATTCTATTTCCTTTGTTGCCTTGTAAAATCAAAGCATTTTGAGCATGAGAGATGCTATCAGTGCTTCAAGCAATCTTAAAAAACTAAAACACAGGGATGTTTTCTCACTGGTCACTTTCTGGGGTAGGCCTCACCTGTTTGGAAGGGTCCTGTGATGATTTATCCCACCAGATCTCTCCCACCAGAATCTGTCAAATGAAATTTGATTTGTAAGTTACCATGAAATCTTCTTCTTTGCTTCGAAGACAATAGCCACTGCCACAGACTTCTGCTGTGTCTATCCTCCAGATCTAACCTGCTATGTTCTTCACTCTGTACATTAGAGAAAGTAGACACATTGATTCTTGGATTTATTTCCAGATTACTGTTCTGACTTCCCAGCCTGGAAAAGAGGTGGTCAAACAATTGGAGGAAGGATTGAAAGATACAGACCTAGTCAGGGTCAGGAGACTTCAGGTGGTTGAGATCACAAAGGGAGTCCTGGAGTATATGGACTCAGTGTCCCTGGCTGAAGAGCCTAGCAGTGATGGTAAGAATTAAAGGAAAAGGTAAAAAGAATTTTAATGAGTAGTCAAGAAGATTATTTTCCATGGTCTTTTTGTTCTTCAATGAAATGAAACCAACTGATTTTACTACAGTTCAGACAGGTGTTTCTAAGTGTATATATAGGCCTAACATATATTAAATATATATTTACTATTTTAATGGGATCATGACATCCATAATATTCTATAACCGTCTTTGTGCATTGGACAGCTGTCTGTGTTAGTATCTATAGATCTGTCTTATTTTTTACTGGCTACATGATTTTCTTACTGTGTGGTTGGACCATAGTTTGTTTAATCACTTATTAATGAACAATTTGGTTTATTACCCTTTGCTATTATAACCAATGCTGAATAAACAGACTTATATACAGGGCTGGTTTCATGGACTTATGACCAGTATAGTCACACAGGGCCTGGCATTCAGAAACACCCTATGCTTGGGATTTAATGCTCTTTGGTTGCTCTCTTGAAATTCTTAATAATTTTAACTTTGAATTTATATTTTATAAGTGAAGTTTTATGGAACAATGGAGGGTGTACCAGGGGATTAGAGTCTCAGCTCACACACGCCCTGTCTCCTGTGTCCTTCCCACCTCCCCATAATGGGGTTCTCAGTTGCTAGCTTCCCAGCTCTGGTGTCCCCAACCTGCCTACCCCAACCCGGCAACCACTCGTGCCCAGGTCCCTGCCAAAAAATCCTACATAAATCACGAATAATTCTAAATTTCCTAGAACAGAAAATATTCGAACTGAGTCTTAAAGAACATATAGAAATTAGTCATGTAGAGGAAGAAGAAAAGAACACTCAAAAAGGAGACGTGGGAGCATGAGAAAGCAAGATTAATCAACTTTCAGGGAAGTGCCCATGGTTCCTTATGACTAGAGCAGATCAGGCAGAAGCAGGAGTAAGTCTATAAAGGTAGGCAAGGATTTGATCAAGAAAGGCCATATATGCCATTCTAAAACATTTAGATTTCATTCTAAGGCAGTGGAAATTTATGAAAAGATTTTGGTCAAAGTTAAGGAGAGATTCCCAAATTATGGAGTTTAAGATATTTTTAACCAGTTTTAATTTATCCAACACTCAAGTTATGTTCACCCTTCAGTGGTCCTTTCTGGATGTATTGGCCCTCTCCAAGGCTGTGCACATGGGAGGAGCCCCTGTTCTGATACCATTGATCTCTTCCTGGTCACACTTGGATAACCCACTAATTAGGTGAGAGAGTTAGAAACTAAGGGTGTGGGGGGTGCCTGGGTGGCTCAGTCGGTTAAGCGGCTGCCTTCGGCTCAGGTCATGATCCCGGGGTCCTGGGATCGAGCCCCGCGTCGGGCTCCCTGCTCAGTGGAGAGTCTGCTTCTCCCTCTCCCTCTGCCTGCCTCTCTGCCTACTTGTGCTCTCTCTTATCTCTCTGTCAAATAAATAAATAAAATCTTTTAAAAAAAAAAAGAAAAGAAAAGAAACTAAGGGTGTGTTTCTCCTCAAATCCTGAGATGTGGATCCTTCCAGCATCATGAGGCCACTGACATTGTTCTGGTCCAGGAGGGAGGATAACCAGCCTTAGCTGTATCGTTTATGAGCTCTCACCCACTTGGCACACTCTGCTTTTCTCAAGCAGTCTCCTCACTGAATGTCTTTCTTTCTCTCTCCATCTCTTCACTTAAAGCTGTCTTTTCCTTTGAATTCCCTCTTCTTTCCTCTGAGTTCCTTCCCTTATCCCCTTCCAGCCAAATACTCCCCATCCCTTAAGGCCTAATTCATGTTCCTGATTACTATGTTGATTTTCCTCTCCTTAGAACAACAATATCACTTGTGGTCTGTACCAAACAATTTAGCACTTGATTATATGCCATGGAAAATTGTTCACCATTGTTTGATTGTGTGATAACTTTGTCTTCTCATCTAATCTGTAAACTACTTGATATCTTTTCTTTCTGAATTAAATTCTAAGTGCCTTGGGATTAGGAATTTGTCTTTATTATTTCTGTGTCCCAGTGTGTAGACTATCCTAGATTACAGGAGATATTTGTTGAATGAATTGATGAAAGTGATACCTGTGGAGAGAGTTCTTGGTCTGCCCAGCATCCCCTGAATCCCCATTCTCTAGTAACACCTTACCTTCCTGGTCAGAGTGGGCCATGACCCAGATGAGGCCATCATAATTCCTCAGGCCACCAGAGTCCTCCCTAGTAGGTTCTCAAACTGAATCTGTGAGAGAGAAGCTCTTTTTCTTTCTCTTTGGCCATGGATATATCAGGCATGGACTATGTCCTTTTCTCCCTTCAGTGACTATATCCAGTAAGAATTTCCTGTATCTCTAGTGGCACAGAGCTCAGAGTACTTGGAGACCACCTGATGCCTTTATTTAGAGTATTTGGATAGAAGAGCTTTTACATTCAGGAAGACAGCTTTCTACCTTGTGTCAGTGATGATGATCTTCCAGTAACCTCCTATTTGCTTATAAATAATACATCATCCCATAAATTGCTTGTAATTCCTCTTTGTGGGTTAAGTATATGTATGGTTCATAGCTTGAATCTTCCCAGTTTGCCTATACTTTCTTCATAATTATTTTATTCCATTGATGTTTGCCTCATCTTGGTGAACTTAGGAAGAGATTAGCAAAAGCAACTTCTCTCATTCTCAAAAAGATGAGTGCTCCAGAATCAGATTGTCTGAGTCTAAACCCCAGTTCTATCACTTACTAGCTGTGCAACTTTGAGCAAGGTACTTAGTCTAAGCCTTAGTTGCTAATTCCTGCCCTATGCAGTAGTTGTGTGTATTAAATGAAATGATGTGTGTTAATTAGTACATAATAAATGTTCAGTAAAATCAGCTAATCTTAATATTTCTGAAAATTTTTGCATATGGGTGGTTTAATATTTCTGAGATTTGTTTTTATGGCCAGATCCCAAGTGGACTGTAAGTTACCTAAGGATAAGACTGTGTCTAATGCATCTTTGTATCACCAGCATATATATCGTTCAGCCTGGCACATAGTAGATTCTCAATAAATGCTTCTTTTTTTTTAAGATTTTATTTATTTACTTAACAGAGAGAGAGCACAAGCAGGGGAAGCAGCAGGCAGAGGGAGAGGGAGAAGCAGGCTCACCGAGCAGGGAGCCCGATGCAGGGCTCGATCCCAGGACTCTGGGATCATGACCTGAGTCGAAGGCAGACGCTTAACAACTGAGTCACCCAGGCGCCCCTCAATAAATGTTTCTTGAAAAATAAGTGAATGGGGCGCCTGGGTGGCTCAGTTGGTTAAGC